AGTCTCAGTCCTCCCCAGGCAGGGAAAAACAAGAGGCTTCCTCTCTGAGAGAAGAGAAGAATGGGTGGACTTGGGCAGGAGCAAGAGCCAAGTCAGTGCAGAACCCTGGAGAACTGTGACCACTGCACTTTGAAGGAAACCGACAGTCAAGTGGCTCAAGAGCATTCCAGTATGTGAACAAAAGCCATGGAACGTGTTGCAGAAATGGGCAACAGAAGGCTCTGACTCATCATGTGGAACTGTAATTTAAGACCAAGAGGCATTTTTCTATCTTGGATCTATTCCTACTGGCTCAGATGTCTCATAAGCCTTTAGCACCTAGTTTTAATAGAGCCGGTGCCTACAATTGAGAAATGAGTTGGATCTGAGAAGTAAAATACTACTCATCTTAAAAATATCCTCCAGCTAGAGCTGAGGCAACTCTGTGTTGAGGAGCTATCATCGACCTTTACTAAATTTGATTTTCTGGATTTAGCAAAGTCTCAGCTCCCTAAGCAGAAATATACTTAGCGAAGCCCCGGGGAGCAGCTGCAGTGTAGGCACTGCAGAGCTTCCCCCTCAGTGCAGCTTTGGCAGCAGGAACTGCTGAGGAATGGAGTGTGAGAGGTCGCTGCTGTCTGGTGTCAGTCCGAAGAAGTCTTTTTCTTTGTGTCAAATCAAATCTGGAGTGAAATAACTTCATAATGTTCCACCAAAGCTTGGTTTGCAGGCAATACTAACGCTGTTAAGACTGTAGGAGTTCACCTGTCTTCAAGATATATGTAGTAGTCTTCTGATAAATGTTTTCAAACCTCATCAGTTTGTCCAGCCCTTTGAATGCATAATGCATATGTATTTATCCAAAGGGCTGGGTTTTGGGACTATGTGATTGTCATTCTAATTTTTCGAAGAGGCAATCTCCAGCTTGAAACACGTTTTTAGTAGAAGTTCTAAAAATATGCATCAGCTACATATAGGAGCTTTTTTGGGCAAACAATCTGTCTGTATAAATGTAGACTGTCTCAAACATAGAGACACAGAATGCTCCATGTGAGGCAGAAGCAAAACCACTTCTTCAAACGCTTGCAGTATCTGAGCATCCTATAGGCAGACTGATATAAGCTGGGGCCCATTGCGTTGCCCAGAAATAGATGGGCAAGAGGCTAAGGAAGGTAAAAAGCTAAGAGGTAAGGAAGACTAGAAATAGTATTTAAAAACAAATCTGATTCACAAAGCTTTGTCACTTTTACTGTATGCATTGAAGATGAGGAGGTTGTATTTTGGCCCTAAACAGTCAACAACTTCTTGCTTGCTCCTGGACATGAATGAACAAGTTGTGCTGGATATACAAGGGTGAGGTGTTTTCTTGGGTGCTTCCTAGAAAGTTTTATTAGAAATAGATGAGTGTTTCATAACTTCTGCTGGGTAAGAAGAGAAGAAGCCTTAAGCTAGGCATTCTCAGCTCATTCAGATCTGCAAAGTCCAGTCCTCGTGCAAGCAGCTGGATGTACTATGGGATTGCTTCTGACAGCCTTCATAGAACAGCACTGCTGTGACACAGATCTGTTAAGAGCACAGCTTTAATTAAAAAGCATGGAAATCACAACGGAATGCTGGTTTGACCCTCAGTGAGATCTGACTAATTTAGCCAGTTCCCAGAGAAACAGTATTCTTGAGATTTGCACAGCGGAGTTTGGAAATAAAGCGGAAGAGTGATTTGAGAGGGGAAAAATAATGATGGAAGAGGCAAAGACACAACCCTGGTGAGCATGGAACAGCTTCTGGCCACAATCCTGGGGAAAGTCAGATACCTGATGATGGGGTGATGGGTGGGCAATAACTGCTGGGCTGTTCTCTCTGGGCTGTTTGCAGGAGATGGATGCTGTACCCCCAGGTCCTCTCAGTGAGGCCGCTGCTGTTTTTCCGTGGCAGCCAGCTTGTGTCCTTTGCAGAACTGAGAGTAGCTCAAGGCCATCATTTCATGCATGACTTGGTAAATTGTACAAGAAAGGACACTGCCAAATGAGGAGCTAAGCCAGTTTTCAATAAGAGGGCCATCTGTAACCAAATGTCTTAGTAAATCTGAAAGCAGTTGAATTTTTTTCCTGTTTTTACTTGTGCAGTTTGTTTATGTTTGTAACTTTGCAGCCAACCTGAAAGTAAGCCTGCTATTGCTTATTTGCAATGTGTTAAGGTTTTGCAGAGTCAAATCATTTCATTTCGGACTTGATCCCGTGTGCACCGAGAAATGATCTCATGTCCATGTCTCTTCAGTTCCTGCTGTGGAAACTTTCTCAGGGCGGAGAGGCTTGAAGTATTTAAGGCAGATAGGACACAGGTAAATATAGACTTATTAATTACAGAGATATCCTCAAAATGTAAAAAGAGTTATGGAAATAGAGATGTTTTTAAAGTCGGAATAAATTCAAAGGCAGTCTCCCCTTAAACAGTTCTAGCAGTCTTTACTTCCCATCTTGCTTCACAACATGGAGACCGATGCAGCAGTGCTTCCCAGCAATGAGAATCACTGCTAGGACCTGCAGTTTGCTCCAGAGAAATCTTGAATCACATCTGACACGAGAACAAATCCCTTTTTCAGAGAATCATAGCATTGTTTGAGTTGGAAGAGACTTTAAAGGGTCATCTGGTCCCACTCCCCTGCAGTGAACTGGGACACCTACAGCTCAGTCGGGTTGCTTGGAGTCCCATTCAGCCTGACCTTGAATGTCTCCAAGGACAGGGCATTCACCACACTTTTGAAAGGATGGATTTAATTATTTTGTTTAATGTTTCCCCTACCAAAAAGAGAGAGGAAAATGGGGTTTTCTTGAACCTGGGCCTTAAACTTGAATTTTAGTTGGTCTCTGAGGTAAGCATTGCAGATGGTGAAGAACAGCAAATGGTGAGAAGGTAACAAATTCGATGCTATTAGTGGGGAAAGCCCCTTGTGCTGGGGGACCCCATCGCCTCTCAACTCCTTTGGAAATATTTCTTGTACCTGACAACTTAGCTGCTTGTTTCTGTAGACAAAAGTACTCTGCAATAGGTAACTTTAAGGCAGTGGGAAACCTCTTTCCAGTGCAGTTTTGCTGTAGAGGAAAAGATGGACCATTATATATGGGTTTATATAGTGGGTAGGAGGTAGGGACACACTGCCTGGAAAGCATTCTTGGAGAGCAGGATCCCCAGCTTCAAGAAGTGATGTTGGAGCTGCACTGCTGCATTTGCTTAGGCACCAATCCTGGCTTTTCCTCTCCAAGACAATATTAACTCTGCACCTGTAACCTGCCAAGCGCAGGGAAGTCGGAGTTTGTCATGCTGCTTTTAGTGTAACTGTTCCCTTTTTACACACAGATTACAAGTGTAACTTCGAGCACTTAATTTGGACTTAGTTCTTATTTGGTACTCCCATTATAGAGGTTTTATAAGAATAATTGAGGAAAATATTTGAGATGATGCTGAAGTATATTTAATTTTCAACTTGTGAAAATCACGCAGCTTTGGTAAGGCTTGAAAATGTGACTATTGGTTTTGTTGGTCTCTAAACCACCAAATTCAGCCCCAGTGATGCACAGTGTGTTACATACGAGGTATGTTCTAAAGACACTGCATCATTTTTTAGTATTTCAAATGCTAAAAGTTACTCTTACACGTATTTCAAGTACTAACGTTAGAGTCACGGTTCCCCACTGTGAATTTAATTTGCACTCGGGGATGCTGAAGGTCTCCAATCCGTTTTGCTGCTGCTGTGACAAACCTGTGGAACTGCAGCATCACTGTTGGAGTCGCTACAGGAGGACAGCATGCATCGGGGTGACATGCAAAGATGCACTTAAACATCAAACTTTAAAAACTTGCACAGTTGTAGCTGCTTAATTGCTTTGCTGCGAAAGACTAATGTGACATCTGAGGAAGTCGTATCTAAATAAGTCAGGAGATAAGGTTTCTCGAGAAAGAAAAGGCATAGATCTGCTGAGGACTCTTACAAACAGACTGTCAGGAGCAGAAAAACTGACGAGTGCTTAAGTGTCTTGGGGACCGAGTTCTGTGTTTTGTGTGCCATAGGGGAGTGGCAGCCTGGGTTCAACCTGTTCGAGCCCAAAGTTTGCAGATGCTACTGGAGGGGGTCTGTCCCGATGCAGGTCGGTCTTACTCCTAGCTATTTAGATTAGAAATGAGTGTCGTTGCAAGAAGGCGTCACCTGCCTGTGGTAGCGAGCTGGTGTATTATTCCGGCAGAAGCAAATAAGTTGTGGCAGCTGGAGCGAAGTGCCGGAACGGGGAAAGCAGCAGAGCCATGGCGTAGGTGCAGCAGGAGCGGGATTGGCCGGGGCGGGCGCGAGCCGTGGGCACAGCGCCTGGAATGGGAGCGTCGCGCTGCACGGAGCAGCGGGAGCGCCCCGACGGAGCCGGCTGCTGCACGGCGCCTGTGTGCATCCTGCCGGCGGTTTGGAGCTTTTCGGGCTGCTTTTAGCGCGGAGGCCGCCGCTCCACGTTCGCTCTTCTGAGCCACGGCAAGGATTTCGCTTCGACAGCCTCTGCTTCGAGAGAAAGGAAAACGCTCTGGGGGTTTCCCGGGCTACCAGCCTCTCGCTGGGACTGTTAACGTGAGACCAGCGCTCAAGTTTGCCTCTCTTCTGCCCCAGCCCCGGCGCTCTCACCATTCCCGATGTGACACCTCCCCCGATTGCCAGGGTCTGACTCATTCGCTGGTTCTGGGAGAGGCAGAACGGGGAGGGGGAGCCTTCAAAGTAGCCGCGATTTGTCTCGCTTTGACGAGGCGTCCGTGAGCTTCGCCCCGGCAAAGGCGGCGGGGCTGGGGACGGCGGAGCGGAGGGGGCCGGCAGCGGCCGCCGGGTGGCTCCCGTCGGTGGCTCCCGCCGAGCCTCGGGGCCGCGCCGCTGTCAGCCCCGCCGGAGGTGGAGGACCGGGGAGCATCGGACCGGGAGCTGCCGCAGTAGCGTTGCAACTGCCCTTCCAACAGCCGGAAAAAAAAATAAAGAAAGAAGGAAAGAAAAGAAAAGCCATGAAGACGTTGAAACGCCTCCTGCCAAAAGTAAAGAGCAAATCCCAGTTGTGATGGCTCTGCTAAAACTTGATCCTGCGGGATTTCAGGAGATAAAGAGCTGCCAGGCTCGCACGTACCGCGGTGGGCGCAAGTCGCGGGATGAAATCCCGGCATTAGAGGACCTATTTCCCGCCCCGTTGTTTGCAGAGGAACCCGCTGAGATGAGTCGGAGGAGCGCGAGCCCAGAGCGATGTGGGGAGCGAACGCGGTGAGTGCGGCGCTGAGCAGCGGTGGGAGCCTTTGGGTCCTGGGGTCGCTTTAAGAAGTGTCTCCGTGCATATTTACTGAGGATAGCGAATGAAAAACCGAAGCAACCCTAGCCTGTGTGTCTCCCTGGGTCGATTTACGGAAAATTGGGAACGAATCTGTGCCTTCCAAGATGCAGAGCCTCGCGCCACGCGCCGTGCTGCTCCCCGCTCCCTGCGGGCCACGAGCCGCCCCCCTCCTGCCCGTGCGGATGAGTTGGCCGCTGGCGCTGCCTCCGGGCGGGATGCGCTCGTGTGGGCTCGGCTCGTGCGTTCCCGGAGAGGCGGGAGCTGCCGGCCGGGCTGGGGACGCTGCCGGGCGGGCTGTGGGTTCCAGGGCCATCTCCGGTAGGGAGAGCCCGGATTCGTTCCTAAACGCGGGCGGGTGGGGGGAAACTTTTGAGTCCGGTCACTCGGAGTCGCTTCCAGTCGCGGTATTTCGGTTCGCGTGCCACGTGAGATCACATTTGATTTTATTTTTTTTTCCCCGTTGAACATCCAGCCCTACTGACGGCTTTTCTCCTCTCCTCTTCCTTCCCTCCGTTCTCTCCCGTCTGCAGCCCCCCTGCGCCCATCTCTCTGGCCGCCTAGCTGCCCTCCCGGGATGCGATGGGCCTCGCGCTCTGTGGCGGGGATCACGCTTGCGGCCGGCGACGCGGAGGCCGCCTGTGAGCCCGGGCACCGAGGGGCGCGACATGCCCGCGGCAGCGGCCCCGCCAGCACCGGCACCACCGGCACCCGCGGCTGCCGCCACCGCTCCGTCTCCTGAGGCGCTGGGTACGTGGGACGGCGCCGCGCGGACGCGAGGGGGCGCCATCGTGCCGCCGCGACCGGGCTTCGTGGGCGCTCGGCGCGGTTCGGCGGGGAGCGGGGCGCTCTCGGCGCTGGGTGCGGGCGGGAGGTGTCGGGAGCGCGGGTTCGAATCTCCGGGTTGTGCAGGGGCGTGAGAGGCCGCGCTGTGGCTTTGCCCGCCGCTGACTGCGCCGTCTTTGGTGCTGCAGCGGTGGGAACGTGGCCCGCACCGCTTTGATTTAGGAAGCACGTTGGGACTGATTTGCAATTAAATGGTCTCAACAAGCTCATCTCCTAGTCTGCCCCGACAAGAGGTGATGATATAGCAAGCCCTTGTCTTGGTGTGCGTTTCAGCAGCAGATGATTCTGATTGATGATGGAGATACGGTTGGCATGTTGAAAGAGATCTGAAAACTGCCACTCCTGATTGGCCAGCCCTGCTGGTGCTTTCTGCATGACGCTTTGCAACAAGGTTGGCTCAGTGTGGCACAGGGACTCCCCTCTTGCAGTTAGTTAGCAGTCAGTCGTGGGGGTGGAAATCCCTCGGGGGCAAAGAAACAGAGGGAGACCTTGCGGAGTCAGAGCTCCTTTCCTTTCAGATAGTTTAGATCACTTCTTCTCTGGCTCATCTCTCTGTATTCAGCCCCGTGCAGAGATCCAGCTGATTCTGAAGTAACCCAATGCAGTGATGCTCATTTCTGGATCACCCTTCCCTCCAACACCAGAGACAACTTTGTGTCTGAGATCAGCAGTTCTGAGATGCTCCAGTGAATGCTGTGTAAGAGAAGGGAGAAGAATTAAGATAGAATATTGTGCTGCTGAATCTGTTCCAGAGATGCAGTAGACTGTGCCTGAGCAGCAGCTGGCGAGGAGAGATCTTCGGAACTAAAGCAGCATGTTTCTGGGATGCTGCGCAATGCACAGAGTACAAGGACTGGGCTTTCCAGCAGACCCTGGGCTTGCTTCTCTCATTTTAAGCTAACGCACCTCTTTCTACCAGACTGTGACTAAATCTTAAATAGACACACCAAAGGAAAACAGACTTCTGTTCCTCACCTGCTTTAGGAAGGCAAGGTTAAAGAGAAGGATGATGGCGCCTTTTTTGAATCGTTTCAGTCATTTCAATTTTGTTAGCCACCCAGAAAAAATGTTAATGGCTATTTCTTCCGAACTTGTGCTTTTTTTTTTCCTGTTGCCTTGCTCGTGGGAGACCAACTGCAGTACCATCTATCACTGCCAACTCAAGTTTTTGAGGGATGTAAGCTTGAAACGAAACTACGTGAAGAATGTGTTATAAAAAGCTGCTAAACTTTGTCTGGTGTCCAGAAGCTTTCTGTTTAGAACCTCCACTGGAGATACGCAGTACATATTTTTTTCCTCTCTGTTCCTTTTCTCATACAATGTGATCACTTTTACAGGGGATAAAGCTGGCAAAGATGAGGAAAATTGGCTGTGCTCTCCTGGTTCTCCAAGCTCTTCTTGCACCTTTGGATCTTGTTCATGGAGCAGAGAAGAATTATCCTGTCCTGAACATTGCAGTCATTCTGGGAAGGACCAAGGATATCACAGAGAGAGATATCAGATCTCTCTGGACCAGGGAGATGTCAGCAGACCTGACTGTTGATGTTAATGTAGTGACCCTTCTGGTGAACCAGACTGACCCTAAAAGCATCATAACACACGTTTGCGACTTGATGTCAGGTACCAAGATCCATGGAGTGGTTTTTGGAGACGACTCTGATCAGGAGGCAGTAGCTCAGATTTTGGATTTTATTTCATCTCAGACTTCTATTCCAATTCTTGGAATTCATGGCGGGGCCTCCATGATAATGGCAGATAAGGTAGGAAGATTATTCAAAGCCTTCATTACTCTAATACTTCAGTGTAAGAATACTTCTAATTATCTCTTTTTACTTTAAGAAAGAAAAGAATATACAGAGCAGTGTCCTCATTGGCTACTCACCAAGTATTTTAAAATGTTTTGGGGTTCATACCTGAAACTCAATTTTCTTTCCACTGTAAAAGTGATCCTAATTAAACTTTACTCTCCACCAAATCTAATGCTGATCACCTCAAAAAAATTATTAGCAAATACAATGTTTGGCTGTAAAAGCAACAAAGAATTCAATCAACTAATTGTAGGGACAAAATACAAAATTATAAGCAGATACTATTTATGAGCATGGCAGAATAGTAGCAAGTGATAGCCGTGAATGTGCTTAAGGACAGTAGTTGTAACAGGGCATTTGTATTAGACTGAACTCTTGTGATCTGCTATGGTCTATAATTTAAATAGACTTGCAAGCTTGTAGTCGCTGTATTAATTAAATTATTTTTTCACTAACCAGATACTTCTAACTTCCTACTATAGCTCATGAAAATCCACAAAGCGTTGTCAGAACCCCGGAGGTAATGACAAACTGCTTTGTTGGAAAACATTTCTTTACATAATCCATCGTGAGATTGTGGAACGGCAAACAGAAGTGACTCACGTATGCAGCTCATTTGCTTTAACACTGCAACACTTAAAAATATATTTACTGGCACTGCAGGTAGGTTTGATCTTGTGGAGCGATCGGTGCTGCCTGGGAAGCAGTAGGTGTGTGGCACCTCCTGGGCAAGGCGTTCTGGTGCGGACAGCTGCTTGGCCTGAGGGTCTGTGAGAAGCTCCTGCTGATGCTGAAGAGCACGTGCTGTGTGGAAGGGAGTTTGTGTGGGCAGGCAGTCGCTGGTTTTCCAGCACACAGCTTGCACTGCAAGCATCCCACACGATGTTAATTGCAACTTATTTCCTGTTACTTGTACCCTTTAGGTTTTCTCATTCCCTAAAGACTGTTCTTCCTTATGACTGTTGAATAGTCCTTCGGGATCTCTCTGTATCCATCTGAATATGAAGTGGTATCATAACTTGGGGGAGCCGAAGTAGGGAAGATGCAATGATCTGTTGCATCTTTTGCACCTTTTCTCTCACAAAAAACGTATTCCGCTGCTATTAAAGAGATCTTCATCTCTCAGTATCATGAATGACCTTTAAAACTTGTGATACAACGGTGAGAGTAATAACTGCTGAATTATAGTAGAGATTCTATAACAATGGGCTGGACATCTTGATTTGTACAGAGATCTTTACAGCCAGTACTGCTATCTTAAATGTAAATGTAAATGCTGCCAAGTAATACAGATGGTTATTTCTTGTGCTTTTAAATTACTGTACAGACTTCCTTATCTTACTGAAGTTAGAGTTCCTAGATACGTATGAAGCTATTTGATGTGTGTCACTCAACTTTCTATACCAGTACAAAAACATTTGAGACTGAAGAACCCAGGGAGAGCTGAGTGATGAAACTGGCAGAAATCTGTACAGTATCAATGCTCAGTAGCTGAATGCAGGATGTTCCTGATACAGATGATTATTTATGAAATACTTTTATTCATGAAACAGATTGCATTTTTCCTGCCTCAGGAAGTTAATACTATGTTCCTCTTGTATGCTGATACTGTCAGTGTTACGTCACCCTCTTTGGTGTTGGGGGTTATCGCCGTGTGATAATACAACACTGTGCTGAATATTGGCTTCTAAGATTTCCATTTGGGAAATCAAAACTGTTCACTTGTGTGTTAAGGCAATCGAACAGAGCTGTCTTTAGTAGCTTGAATTGGCTGAGGGACTTTTATGATCGTGTAACTGAAATTGCCTCCATTTTTATCTTGGCTGTTCCAGTGTGCAGTATATCTTGGCACTGCCTTTGGAACAGCGCAGAAATAAGACTTGCGTGTGTCACTCAATTAACTCATCATTTGGGAACGAATTCCTGGGAGCCGGAGGTGAAATTCGCAGTGCTGTCAGAAAAGCAGAGGGGATGAAGCAGGGAGAAGAGCTGCAAATATAAAATCTTCCTTCCAAGGCGGTGTCAGGATTTCAGCCGAAACTCACGGCTGCTGCCTTACGTTAGAAAGTTGATCGGTGTTGAGTCTTCTGTTTTGTCTCCCGTACAGAGACTGCTAGCATACGTAAAAGGTGCTCAGTCTCACTCCTGCCTGTGGATGGAATTCCCACCTCTGGTACTCCATGGCCATTTCATTTGTCCTTACTGTATGGCTCTGGTAGTTTCCTTCCTTCTGTGTGGATTCATGCCAGCACTGTGTTTTAGATGACTTTTAGATGGAAATGAGTGTGCATGTGTTGTACCTGCTCACTTGTGGTCTACAAGCAAGGCTGGCACACAGGCAGCACAACAATTCAGTGAATTCTGTGCCAGTGCTTATATGATGCTTAACTGTCCTAAACGTGAGCTGAGCCGTGGATGTGAAAGTGAAGTATCTTTATTCCTGAAATCTGTATTCCTACAGGCTTCCCTGGAATGCTATGAGTGGATGAGCTTTCCATTTTCTGCGCTGTTAATTAATACTGCTCTTGGGCTATGATGTCCCAGTGTGAGCACTGGCTGTGCTCTGGGTGCTGCCATGGCCACCAGTAGGACCTTACTGCAACCTTGTTAAAATTTGGCTGCACAGCCAAGGGAATGCATTGCTTCATATGGATTATAAAATTGATGGCAGGTGTGTAAAGCCAACAGTACTGAAATGCTTTCCATGCTTTCCCTCACCTGGTACCTCCTGTTAAAGCCCAACCAATAAAGCTCCGAGGTGCCTGTGGCTGTGCAGCATGCCCCAGCTGCACCATAGAGGTGCCCTGGACGGCAGCGCGTGCTTTGCTTGTCATCAGCACTGTCACCTGCTGCTGGCAGCAATCCTGCTGCCAGTGAGCTGCTCCTGTGGACTTTGGTCCTCAGTTCTTCCGTGGGCTCAAAGAATGTTCATATTTGAGACAGTCCACTGCAACAAGATGAGAACTGTGTGTGAGACATGTGTGCCAACCTGCTGTGCGTCGGCAGCCCTGGGAGGATGCTGCTAACAGGTTGGCTGTTTATTAACCCCCCTGTCTGTAGAGGTTTGAAATCTTAAACCAAACACTGCTTAGGATCTGTTTCCTGACTTCTGCATTTGATTAGTTAGGTTTGTATCACCACATGCTATCGTTATAATGATTGTAATTAAGATTCCTTTCTAAGAACATTATGGTTAGTTCTGCTACGATAAAGAAGGATTTGTTTCCTTCAGAAGTGAAAAGAAGCCGCCTGTGTTATAAAAGCACCTGTGAGAACTGAGCATCTCTGAACTATGCTACTTCTGTATATTTCAAAACTGAGCCTAACTTCTTGTTAGAAATCTCTCTGAAAGACACAAAAACGGGAAGCATTTTAGTGTGATGAAAGCATGCGTGTAGCTGAGCAGCACTAAAGGTGAAGGCAGTTTTCCTTTAGGGCCATTAAAAAGTGGCACTTCTTGAAATAGCCTTAGAATTGTTAAAATAAATCTTTACTATCCCAGGAAATACTGTGATGATATTATAATTCTTTGTTATTCTCTGAGCTGATGAATTAACACTGATAATTAACACTTTCATTAATTGTTTGGGATAAAATCCATTCTGCACCTACCACCATCTTCTGCTTTCCTTTTATCTGCCTTGCTCCTAGCTGTGAATACAGAATGGTAGAATAACAGAAATCAGAGGGATCTCTGGAGGTTGCCCAACCCAAGCCCCATTTGTCAGCAAGTGAGCTACAGTGTTGAGTCAGGTCGTTCAGGAACTTCTCCAGTCTGGCTCTGAACATCTCTTGTTTTGCTGTGAGACTAACTCTGTTTAGACACCTTTCTTTTTTTATTGTAGATCACTTCTGGATATAATGATTCCTGGAGCTGTTTATTGATTTGTATGTCTATGTGTGTTATTTTTTTCCCCCTAGCTCATGTTGAAACAGTCCTACATTCTTACAGAAAACCTTTCATTTAAATTTGCTAACTTCTCATTCTTGCCTTTGCTGTTAACTGATATTAGCACGTACGTGGCAGCGTACTTCTGAGCAAGGTAATGATTTTGGCTTTGGTTAGCACTGCAGAAGGTAGGAAGATGAAACTACAGCTAAATGCCTCAGTCTGAAAATACCAGTATTTATTTAATCTTTCATGTGTGGTTACATTATACTGTTCCATTGCATGCAAGCAATACTTCTAGCTTCTGCCTCTTGTAAAGGAGTGTTTCAGTGTTTCCTTTCCAGTGATTTTCCTTTCTTGCTGTACTAATGCTGCTACAGGAAGCATAACTTTCAGAAATTCTTATTGCGCTTTTAACTGCCACAAAAATGTAGTATTGATCTCCCTCTGCATATGTATAGATATTTATTTAAAAATAAAATCTTGCATATGCTAAAGATTTTTATAACTGAGCATGTAATCCACAGTTGTATCCTTTACACGCATGTGCTATAACTGTTTGTAATTAAATGGTTAAAAATGCCTGAAATCTGTCTCACTGAGGCATATGGACTGGATTCAATTTCTTGTGCTTTTTTTTACCTGGAGCCAACTCTCAGCGAGCACGAGATGGTCAGGATGCAGCGTGCTGCTTTGCATCGCTATGCTTGTGCTGTCATGGCTATGGAAAAGTGAAGTTTAACGGTGTTTGCTGCAGTGTTTGCTACTTTGAGCTATGCCTCAAAGCTTGAGGGAGCATTATACCAGGATGTGCTTTGTTTTCTTGCTTTCTTGCTGTTTCTCTCCTGTTCTCTCTTACTTTTCTAGAGGATTTTCCTGCCTATTTTGTATTTTCCTCATTCTTCCCCCTTAGTTTGATGAAGGAAAGTGTGGTGGATTTCCTGTAATACTGTGAGAGTGAGCTTTGAACTGTGTCTCTGGGAGACAAACTTGGAGTAATTTATCCAAGGAAGAGGACAGTGACAGAAATTCCTAATGTCTTCAAAAACTAGTAAGCAGATTG